TCGTACCTCACTTGATACTCCGCTAACGTCCAATGTTAAGGCCCGTAAGGTTGAAATACTTCCCCCACTAAGAAAATCTAAAACCCGCCCCAACCACGAACGAACTTTGTCCAAGGTATCACAAAAGTAGACAGCATGAAAAGCTGTTTCTTTGAGACCGCAACGCAAGCAATCCGCCTCCTTTACCAAACCCATCCTATTTAAGACCGATTTTGATGCTAAAATCCCCATGACAAATCTGTACACCAATTCACGAACCCTTGGTGCCAACTTAAGTTTACAAAATCCTTCCCATATTTACCCCCAATTATACAGCGGAAAAACAGACAATCCCTGTACAATTTCCCCACGACAACATATGCTGACCATTTGCCCCACCCGGATCTGTTGCACATTTCTCAACTTTAACAACAAACGCAGCATGTCCTCACACTCTATTAATCCCCTGCCGCTCCACCATTTACGCATTTCGATCATTACCTGACCCACCCGGATGCCCTTCTCACCGCCCGCCCTGAGGAACCGTCTGCTTTACATAGAGGGCCTTCACCCGTGGCCCCAAAGCCAAGAGACCAAACCCCCACGACGAACATGGGCCATGACAACCTCCCAGTTTAAACCCAGCTCTCCGAAACCCCAAACTAACGTAAGACCCTTCCCTGCAGTTCTGAATATCCATATCTCTTAAAGGGTACACCTCAGCCACCCCCATACTTACTAAAAAACAATGTATTTAAACCCCTACTGTCCTCTGTTGCACGAGACATCCCCAGCTCTTACCCCCGAAGTCGATCTAAAGTCTAGTTAACCACCAATTCAGAGTTTACCCTTTAGCCTCCCTCTCATCTGCCATGTATACGATACCACATATTCTAAGTTGCACCATGACTGACCACCATACCTTTCGCCCAACCTCCCCCCAACCCCTATACCCACCTCCAATAATTTCGATTTTGCCTTATTGACACACATGCCAGACTCTGTCCAAAAAAACTCAACAATCCATCCCACGATCTGCAAATCCCCCTCCTCTTTTAACAAAATCGTGGTATCATCTACGTACCCGACCACACGTGCTGCATGGTCACTGCTCAGAGTTCCACGCCATCAAACCACCATCCACCAGCTCATAAAAGGGGTTTTGCATACAAGCAAAAAGCAGCTGGGAGAGGGGCAACCCTTGCCTCAAACCCCTTTCCATATGGACCAGCTGCCCCAATTTACCATTTACCTGTACGCGTACCATAGCTGAGACATACAAGGTATCAACCCATCTTACAATCCCCTCTCCAAAACCCTGCTTCAATAAAATAAGCCTCAATAAATCCCTATCATACAGTCATAAGCATTTTGCCAGTCAAGCCCGAGGACAACCCCCCCCCTTGACATTCCTCCAAAAACTCCCTAATATGTACATGTCCATCCTCATTGCTCCTGCCTGGTATGCCTAGCTCTCCCTCGTGAATAACCAACCCCATAACCTTCCTCATTCTGTTTCCTAAAACATTTGCAAAGATTTTAAGCCCAAGCACATAAGAGATATTGCTCTATATGCACTCAGACCCCTCCCCCCTCCTTTTTGGCACCAACACAACTACCCCCCATACTTTGTGACATACCTAACCTCCCCTCCGTGAGCATGCAATTTAATACATCAACCAAACAATGCTTAATACTTCTCCAATGCGCCTATAAAAATAATTCGAAATGCCATTCTATACCTGGTGCCTTTCCTTTACTCATATTAAAAATCGCCTCCTCATACCTCCTCCACTCGAATTCTACCTTCTAGTTACCATTCTATCCCTGTCACTTATAACTTTTCTGAAATCCCTCCTCACACCAGGCCACCCACATGGACCCCCCGCTATTCCCTGCCGTAGCTTTTCCCCAAACCATAGATCAGCATAAAAACTCATGCTGTCCGTGGTGAGGAGTACTTGACCCGGCAGGTAACCACCCAAACCCGTGCATACTTCCAATTGCAAGAGGGATGTCGCCTGTTGTCTGACCCTAAATTTGAGCAAGACACAACCCGAAGGTTTGTCGCCCCATAGCACTTCTTCCATACCTGCTCTGACTCTAACCGCATTGAAACGTTCATTGTGAATTTCTGCAAGTCGACTACAAAGATGTTCAATGTCGTCATACCTACTACTCCCGCCCCTCACATAGTAATCATTTAGCTGCCCCTCCAGATAGTTTTGCAGCCCATACCTCCACCTCGCCTCCTCTTTTCCCCGCTTCTTATAATAACTCGCTATCCCAGGTTTGGCATGCGTTTCCCACCATTCCAACAAACATTCACCTGCCCGTCGCATTTCCCAGATATTCTTCCACCAGTCCTGAAAAGCGGACCCATTCCCCTCCCCCTCCAATAGCCGCACGTTCAGTTTCCAATAACCTGGATAAACCCTGATCATTCCATCCCAGTCCAAGTCTGCTAGCACTGCACGGTGATCTGAAAACCCCACATCAAAGGTCTGTACATGCCCAACTCTAATTCCTTGTGTTATATAAAGTCTATCCAGATGGGCAGCATAGCCCCTGCAAATGAACGTATGCTTCACACCCCCACCCACCCCCGCCCCACCACATCATAAACCCCTGCATCCCCCGGCAGATTCTGTAAGACAAGTAAAACGCACCCCGCCCCCCTTGGCTCAACATCGCCATGGCGGATAACACAATTCCAATCCCCACCCATGACGGTAATGAATGGCAAACCCCGAGTGTAAAACGTTAAAGCCTCCCTCACAAATTCTATTTAACTTTAGTGTTGCTTCCGCAGGCATGTAAATGCCAATAAAACAAACCCTCACCTCACCCCAGTACCCATCTACCCTCACCACCCTCCCATCTCCCCCCTCCTCCCATCTCAAGACACGCCAAGGGCTGGACTCCTTCACTACTATAGCTACCCCACCCTTTAATTTTAAAGAACTGCTAACATACATTCGGTAGCCTTTTAACCGTAACTCTCACCCAAACTTATAATTGTGTTCTTGTATGAAACATACGTCCATGGCGTACCTGCGCCAAGAACCACTCCATCCACACACACTTAAACTCTGCCCACAGCCATTTACATTGATGGTAACACACTTGAATTCACAAAAGGAGGTTTTCCTCTATGTTTGTGGGTCTTTCCCGTTCCCACACGTACATTACACTGACCTTCTTTGACCTTTGACTTCCCAAGGCCCCCCTCACCCCCCGTGCCCTACCCATATGCTGGGCGCTTGCCACAACCCCCGTCTTCAAGAAGGCTCCTCAGCCACTTTCGACCATAATTTCTTCCTGGACGCTGTCCCGGTGTCAGGACCTCGTCCATATCCGACACTCCTGCCGTCCGTTTGCGGGAACCACCTTCCACACACATCTCACCAGACGAAGCCTCCTGGTGGACTTCCACCACCACCTCATGCAACCGTGTCATTGTAGTCATGTCCAGGTCTTCCATATTTGGCAAATCATCCTTCACCACTTCTTGACACTCAGGTGGAATGTCTGGGCTATGCTCTGCCCCATCCAGGAGATCGTTTAGCACGTTCTCCAGCAAACTTTCCTGTGACAACTCCACGGCTCCATAGGCCCCACAGGTGGCGTGGGCACGTTTGTAGTGTCCACCGACAGGGTGGCACACACCATAGACCGCGTCTCCCTCTAGTTGTACTTCCTCACTCCAAGATTTGGTCCTTGTTCAGGCGAGGGACTAGTCTCCAGATCAAAGGCCTCGGTTCTTAGGACCACAGGAGAAGGTTCCCGGATGCGTACAACCAGGCGTCTGGAGCACTGAGCAGCCATATGGTCATACGAGTTGCATAACCTTCATATCTTCCGTTGGCCCGCATAGTGAACAAAACTTGGGTCCTGTAGTGTTCTAGATGAACGTAAGATGGAATCGCTGTTTAATGTCATCTTGAGGGTGCAGGAGCCTTCTGGGAGCCCCTCGTATGGGCCCTCCCTCCACACTCCCTTGGTCGCTGCATGTACCGTACCGTATCTACCAAAAACTTTCCGAATAACATACTCCTCTGCCTCGAAAGGCACGTTCCTTACTTTGACCAGGGACGTATGTGGAGACGTCATGCAGGCATACCTCTACGGCTGAATTCACCGCCATTTTCCTCTCTTGAAAGCTTCCACAATCTTGGAGTAAAAGCCGGCATTTGCGAATTTTACGAAAAACCTCGAAATCCCATTGAGAGCCACACCATATAATTCCTCAGTGGGGATGCCGTAGATGTCGCGGATAATGGTAGGCAACAAGACATGCATCGTTGCACCACTGAGAGACCACGAATGAATTCAACACAGACCGTGTTACTCTTCTACCATGACGATCCGCCATCTTGCTTACTGTAGTACACGGTTCGCCACCAGGTGTAAGCAGGAGCAGGCTCAGAAAGCGTCCTCTCAGCCGCAGGTTGAGAGACGAATGCTTGCAGATTAGATCGTAGTTTATTAGCGTAGGGGTTCTTTCAGACAGATGCGACCGAGGATTGCAAAAAGCCAAGATCATGCTCAAGGGAGGAAAAGATGTTCTCTCGGTAGGCTGCGTGTCAGTGAGGCCGACAGCCACCCACAAGGACAGACCTCAGTGCCGGCCCTCTGGTGGGTGCTCTCGATAACAGGCAACTTCCCTAGTAAGAGATATAAGAAACATATTGGGTAGGTATACTGTCTACACCAGGATGCAACCCACAACAGTCGATTAACACCTAGGTGCCTACTTACTGCTAGGTGAACAGGTGCAGCAGGTCGAAGCACGGACCCTCAGTATATGAGCTTAGTGTGCTACCAACCGAACCACAGGACACCCTATTACAAACTAAATTTAAGACAGGAAGAGGCTAGCAATTGAACAGAATTTTTTCCACGCACAGCGAACTCCTACAATAATATTATTAAAGCCTTGATGTTTATAGCATTAATTTTGCACCTTGTAGGTAATCCAACAACAATGGTGTTTGTGTAGCCTCTATGTTGACCTGCAGAGTGTGGAAGCAGCATGTGAGTGGTGTGGACTGTGGAGAGGAGGTGGCCAGTTTTCTCACTCAGTTCGTCTCGGAAGGAAGGACAAGACTCAGATTACTGTACCGGGGAGATGTAGTGAAGGATAGACCAGCCCGCAGGCTTGATTACTACGACTTTCCAAAGAGCCTGGACTCTGACAAAGTGAGTTAAAGTACCTAATTATGTGCACCTTTACGACTGTACTAAAATGGAATGTAATGTCCAATATTCACCTATCAGACACTCAGCTGTATCATGTAAGTGTAACATACCCATTAAATATATTCCCTCCTGATACACACCTTCATCATGAGAGTGTAATAGATTTATGTAATCCATGAGCAGTTGTACTACGCGCAGAACAGTGCCTACGTAATTGCGTCGGAGTCATCACTGGCGGTCTTGAACTCTCGCCTATCGGAGCCGGTCACAATGGGCCAATTCCGAACTAATATTGTTGTCAGGGCGCCCCGCCATCAGACGAGGACGACTGGGCATACGTTAAGATTGGTTGTGTAGTCTTCAGGACGGTGAAACCTTGCCAGAGGTGAGGTCATACTGTGCGGCCTCTCATCATGTGATTAACACTGTCTAATCGATATGTGCCTAGGACAAAAAATGGTAACTAGCACTCGAGTCAGGAAACACTCGACCTGCTCTTTACCTAACTTCTCGCTCCTTCCAGCATAATAGTCAATGTCTACCACTGAGACGTTATAGCTGGAAGCGATAATTTAAAATACTTTCTTCTTAAATATATTTGCCTGCTACTGAAGGATACTAATTTTATAAATAGCGAGGACACGTTTTCATTATCTAAATGTCGTCTAATTAAAAGAACAAAAGTGAATTCATTCAATATATTAAATGTTGTTTGTCTCCCTCTGAGAGTTAACATTTATGTTTTCTCATGACTGACGATTTAGCTCTTACGTTTGCCTCTATTTATCCAAGTACAGATGTTTACTGACGACGGTGGATCCAATCACTGGGAAGCGACATCCCAAAAAAGAACCTCTCAATACTCTCCGCTCGTGAGTATTAAGTAGTGAAGTACCATTTCTATTCCTCAGGTCTCAGTTAAGATCACACACTCACATCATCACACCGGACCTTCCTCCACACACACACACCACACACAATACAATACAAACATCACAACCCCCACTGTACAAACATCACAACTACTACCCCTACAAACATCATAACTACTACCCCTACAAACATCATAACTACCACACAACAAACAATACAACTACTACACCTCAATTAGGTGAGTACAATTAGGTGAGTACACAATTGGAAGCTGAACACTAAGATGAATCACACTGATGTTAAGAAGTAATTCTTCACTCACAGAGTTGTCAGGAAATGGAACAGTCTGGGAAGTGATGTAGTGGAGGCAGGATCCATACATAGCTTTAAGAAGAGGTATGATAAAGCTCTTGGAGCATGGAGAGTGGCCTACACTTGAGTAATATTAGTCTATATTGTTAGTAATATTAGTATTTATAATCTATATCATTAGTAATATTATTAGATTAGTTTATATTATTTGTAATATTATTCTAGTCAATATTATTAGATTAGTCTGTATTATTTGTAACGGTTATGAGATGAGTCTCACAGATTATATTTTTTAATGTCTCTTCTGCTTTAGGTTTCGTACAATAAGCGAGCCAGCCAAGTTGGCCAAAGCTTGGGCTACGAGTCCTCTCTTCGGCATCAACATGGCTATTGATGTCACAGGACCTCTCGCTGTGGGAGACAAAGTCATTGTGGCCAGAACCTCATCCAATCCAGAACTAACTGTTTTCTAGAACTGGCTAGAACAGCTTTGCACACTGTGATTAGGCCTCTAACTAATCACAACAGCCTGTTCGTTGTTGCTAGCTATCCAGAAAAGCCAAAACAGCTGGACAAGTTTTGCAAGTTCTCTAGACTGGCCAAAACACGTGGCCATTGTTGCTAGCCATAAACATTGCAACTACTACATTACGGACATCACAGCTACCGCCCCACAAACATCACAACTACCACTGTTAAAAATCATAAGCATCAAAACCTCAAACATCACGACTACCACACCATAAACAACACAACTAAAACATCAAAAACATTACAACTATCACAGCACAAACATATAACTACCACACCACATACATCACAACTACCACTCCACAAACATAACTACCACACCAAAACATCACAACTACCAACCCACAAACATTATATCTACCATCTCACAAACAACTTCCACAATACAAACATCACAACCCCCACTGTACAAACATCACAACTACTACCCCCACAAACATCATTACCACACAACAAACACACCTTAAAAGCACCTAAAGTCGGTACCTGACCAGCCGGGCTGTGGCTCGTACGTTGGATTGCGTGCAGCCAGCAGTAACAGCCTGGTTGATCAGGCCCTGATCCACCATGAAGCCTGGTCAAAGACTGGGCCGCGGGGGCGTTGACCCCCGGAACTCTCTCCAGGTAAACACAAACATCACAAACATCATAACTTCGACACAACAAACATCACAACTATCACCAAACAAACATAACTACCACCCCACAAACATCACAATCTCCACACTGGGTTGTAAAGATGATGTAATCAGTCCATCACCCTCGACGAAATAAGTTTTGAGACAGTCAGTCCCTCAGCTTCGTGATGAGGTCTTCATAGACTATGGAGCACTGTGTCTAGTGAAAGTTTTCTCCAAAGTGAGGGAGTGAACACCTCAAACCTGCTTCTTCGAGGGTTGATGGACTGATACATCGTCTCTGCATCTTCCCTTCTGTTTTCTCCTCGGTGCTCGACTGGTGAAGCCTACTGTATAACTGAATCGTTTCGTAATAACTATACCTACTCATGCCAACTACTACGCTACAAACATAATAATCACCACCCCATAAGAATCATAACTACCACAACATAAGTAGCACAAATATCATACACTAACCACACCAAAAAATAATTTTTACCACTTAAACTCTGCAGTTAACACCCCACCGTGTGGATTAACCAGCTTTTGACTCACAGTTTCATTGCTTTTAAAAAAACTTCTCAGTTCTTAATTTATTTTTTTTCTAATTCCGTTGTGAGCAATGAACCTTTATTAACCACACGGCTCTACTGAATTTATTATAAATAATTATTTTTCCCAGGATCAGACAATGAGCTTAAAGCAGCACTTAGCTGTTTTATATGACTGAATTATCAACAGTCATTCAAAATCCCTAAATTTCTCTAAGTGGTTGTGGCTGCTCCTTGAGTTCCAAGTCTCTGGGATAGATAATAATCTAGGAATACTTGTAGTTCTCAAAAGAATGTATACTGGTTTAGAAAACCATGGTTAGGTTAGGTAAGAAGGTTCGTCAGGAACCAGGACAAGTGTTTCCTGACGTGGGTCTTAGATGATGACCCGCCATTGGAGCTTTCGGTCATCTGACTGAGGCCTTCCGCTGGCTTACCCCTTTACTCATTTAAAAATTATTGTTATAATTATAACCATTTATCTCTAGAAAACCGACAAGTTGAATAAATGATATACCAAATGTTGTACATGTGTCTCATTTATCAATGCACTTTTTTTATTAGTGGTTATATGAAGCAGCCAGTCAGAGTGGGTTCTTCAGTAACGGGAGTATTGGAGGCGTTATCTCCCGTCCGCTAATAGCGATCCAGGCACTCCTGTCTCTCAGTTAGGTTTTCTAGCAGAATCAGCTACTAAATACCTTTACTACACTTAGATAATTTTGAGGTTTCACTCATCCTCTTTATCCGTCGGGGAAACATTGTATTCAACCACGTTTTATTCCGCAGCATTTAAATCTGTATCGTGTTCGGCTTCGGGAGTTTCAGGCATAGATTGCTAGTAATTTATCACCCCATTCATGTTCTCTAGACATTTTACCCACTAGTTTTAGTTAGTTTAACATCTTTATTATGCACCCCATACCCATCCTGTGGGTGGTAGTCAAAAAATTACAGAGGTACATTATTGGTCCAGGGACTGGACTTCAAAGTTTTGATAGCTGAACAAGTTACAAAGGTAATGAACTAGAATTGGTCACAATCATGACCAAGTTACAAAGATAATGAGCTCCAGGTAGAGCTGGTCACAGTCATGACAAGTTAGAAAGGTAATGAATCATAAACACGTCCATACATGGTTACAGTCATGAACAAATTACAGAGTAATTGTAGGGTATTCATCCATTGCTTCAAGAACATATGTTGCTAGGTGCCTCTCCCTCCTCAGCAAGACAGCCAGACAGCCATTGCAAACAGCAGAAGGCTACACCAGGATCTGCTGCTTGCAGGAGCACCATCGACCCTCCTTAAGAGGTCCAAGAGGTCAGCGACTCCGCTAGCAGCCCAAGGGAGAGCTGCCCTGGGACGGTCAAGTCCTGGCGGACCCCAAGTTGATTCAGATCCCAGCCCTCTGAAAGGGGTAAAGGGTTGCACAGCGTCACCTATGTTGCGGGAGGGGCTGTTGGTTGCTCCCCCCTTGGAGTCCTCCGGGTGCCCAACATCCACGGCTCAGGGATTTGAAGCGGGGGGAACTGGGCCCCCTGCCTGTGACAAACTGAACTCCCCTTTGCGGTCAAACCCAAGCGCTGTCCGCGTTATTTTATTTTTAATTTGTTTTTTATGCACCCCTTTTACCCATCCTGTGGTGGCGCGGGGATTGGGTGGTGTGGAGCCGGGGGAGTTGAAGGTTTGGGGCAGTGTGAAGAGTTATAAAAAGTACTGTTTACTACATAGGGGGCAAAGCCCGGGGAAGGGGGAGGGGGACTTCCCTACACACTGATTGCCCACTGTTTTTTCAAAATTCCTGCCTACAAAAACACAACATTTTTTTTGTTTCCCAACACACATGAAAAATATTTGGGATGACTCCCCAAAACCATGTTTCCTTTATCTTCACCCGCACACCCCGCTCCGCTTTCCCCCCCGGGCAGGGGAAAAGGTTCAGCCCGGTCCCTACCTGGACACTCTCACCACCAAACCCAGCCCCCACAAAAGTACAACACTTCCATTATTTTCCCCCTGAACGGGTTTTCTGGGGTGTCCTCTGTTGCTCGGTCTTTTAAAAACATTTACACTGAACCTGTTTCTCAAGCATCATCGTCAAAACGCGCAAGACGTTCTTTGTTCTTTTATTTTTAAACATAACGTTTTTTGATCCTGTTTATTTTAAATTTTTGTAAACTTATGTAAAATATATTTACTGGGTTAGGCTAAATTAAATTACGCTTTTTATAAACGATTTGGTAATTTTCTAAGATTAGATTTAAAAATTTTTCCACCGAAGTGGCTAGTTTATTTTGCACCCCATATCCATCCTGTGGACGGTAGCGCGAGAGCATATGGATACACAAAAGGCCTAGGAACTAGGCCCCAAAGGGTTTTAACAGGAAATACATATGGATTTATATCTACATATCAAAAAGTTCACTTATCTGTTACAAGCAAATTTGGGAAATTTGCTTAGTATATCTGGTATCTTATTTTCATTAATAAGATATCTTGACATGTCACATAGGTTATTATACTGTCTGTCTCTGTATTCCTCAATAAGTGGGACAATTAAGCACATAGTGTTCAAGAGAGTGACCATATGCCTGATCACATAATTTACATTTAGTTTGATCATCATCTGTGTGTCTCCCCAAACTGCCAGAAGTACTTGTAACCAAGCCTAAGCCTGGCCAAATACAACATCAGTCATCTGTTCACATTGCAAGTTGCTCCATAAACATTTCTTATCTACGTTCATGTTATCATAGTGGGTTATAAAATCTACTCAGGCTTCTAACTGCATTCCTATAACATCATTTTCATTATTTACTTCTCTCCTAATATTATTCCTAATGCTAGACACAGTTATACCAAAGTTATATTCTACATTCTCCTTCTCGATACTCTTCTTGCTAACATATCAAATTTATCATGAAGGAGTAATCCAATGTGTGATTTGGGGTCCATAGCAATTGTACATTAATTCCTTTGTCCCTAATTTTTGAGTATCTATACCTGGCTTCCCCAATAAGCATGTTGTTGAGTCATTATAAAGAGCCAAGAGCCTTCAATGATGACATAGAATCAGTAAAGATGATAGAGTCAAGCTCAGTGTCATAGGTTTAGCTTTAGCGCCATTAGGATTGCAAACAATTTTTTTTGCATTTTTAGACGCCCCGGGGTTTTTAATTCTTGGGTTCATTGTCTGCATCGCTTTTTGGGCCGGGCCAAAACCCCCCTGGGGCAAACGTTTCTTCATTTCCCAGACAGCATAGTGTGAGGGGGTGTGGTCGCGCCCCTTTTTCGTCAGACCGGGGGAAACTATATTAGTAAACATGGCGTGGGGTTACAACGCGGGAAATTAACACTGTCGGTGTTAAAATTCCCCCGTGGGGGGGCCAATAACCCCAAGCCTCAGCCCAGGTTTACTACCAAAAAATAATCAGAGACACGTATGGGCTTTCGGGATGGGGGAGTTTTTAAGGCGTTAGCATTGAAGGGAGAAAGAAATTTTTTTGTGAACTGCTCTAAAAGAAAACGGTTTACAGTGTTTTAAAAACCGTTTTCAGGGGGTTAAGCCCTTTGATGCAAACAAGTTTGTGCGTGTGGGGATGATCGATGTTCCAGACATTTTTCTTTGTTTAAAATTTTTGGTAATGCCCCCTTTGGGGCGGAGAGGCCGATATCAGAAACGTATTTGGGAATACGGGAACTGTTCATTTGGCCCAGGCATGGAAAGTGGGTTTGCCCGGGGCCAAACCCGGTTTTTTGGGCCGGAGGGCATTTTTTAAACCAAAAAAGGGTCATTGGGGACCCCCCCAACCGCCCCTTAAAACGGTACCAAAAGGAATTCGGGGACACGGGTTTCAGGTGTCTTACGCGGGGCAAAGGCGTCCCTGCCGACAAAGTGGGGAATATGATCCCCATAGCGCGGAGTGGGGGAAAGGGCGGAAACCCAAACCCCGGGGCCCAAAGAGGGGGGGAACCCAACCGCTTCAAACACCGGGGGAAAGGCAGGTGTTGATAAAGACGTGAAGGAGGGCGTGGTCTTTTTGGGGGCGAGAAAAGTGGATGGGGCCGTAAAAGGGCGGGGGAGAGGGTGAGGCCCTTTGCCCCGGGTTAAACCTGGCCCAAAGCCCACCTTCCAGGGGATCGGGTTGAGCAAAAAGTACAGGAGGAAGTTTTGGGAAAATTTGGAGGGGGTTTTGGGCCCGGGGTTTTTTGAAGCCCCTTGTAAACCCGAAGAGGAGGAGGGCCTGCCCCGGGCGGGAAAGTAGAAGATGAGGTAAAAGGCTGGGGGGGAAAATCAAAAACAAAAACTATTCGGACAAAGGGAGTGACAGCGTGAGGGAGGTGTCACCGGTTCTTTGTCACTGTGTACATTGGGGGTAGAGGTACATTTGGGCATCCCCCAACCCAAAGCCAGGAGGAGGGCCCCTGTCACAAGAAAAAAAAGCCGCTGAACCCGGTTTCCCAGATGAGGGTCCTAAGGGCCGGGGGCAGAGGCCCTGGGTGCAAAAGGGGGCAGAAGGTAAAGGGTTAGGGGGGGCCATAAACAGGAGGCACCGAAAAAAAGGGGGGGGGGGAAGGGGGGGGAAAGGGTGTGCAGGTGACAAGGGGTCCCCCAGGGTTTTTGGTGGCCATCGGAAGAGTGAAGGGGAGGAGGCGGGGGGTGGAAACTCAAATGGGGCCTCCGGTGTATGGACATAAACTTTAAAAGGGTTTTGGAAATTTGGTGTAAAAGAGTTGGTTTAGAGATTTTTCTGAATAAATTTAGAGGGGATTTTGGGGGTTCCCTTTACGGAGCACAATTTTAAGGGGGGGAGGGGTGTTGGAAAAGGGGGGGTTTTTCAGGGGAAACCCCTTTGGCCTCTTTCCCCGTTTAAAAGGGGGGGTGGGTATCTTAATCGGGGACCCAAAGGCCCGTTTTTTTGGGGAAAGAAGGGGGGGGGGGAGGGGGGGAGGGGGAAGGTGTTTGGCGCAGAGGGTTTTGGTGGAGGGAAAAACGTGGGGTTCTTTTATTAGTGTTTTATGCCCCCCAGAGAATAAACGGGTTGAAGCAGGATTTAATTTGTTTTCCCCGAGGCCTTGTTTTTTTTTTCCCGTGCATTACCCGGAAAGGTGGCAATAGTAGGGGTTGATTGGAACTGCGTCTTAGGAGGGCGATGGGGAAACCCCAAAAGGGTGCCAGGTTATGTGTCGGGGGGCCCTACAGATTTATTAGGGTTAATTGGGTTTAAGGACGCTTTTCGAGGGGGGGGCGTGGGGACAGGGCTTTACATTTGTTAGGAAGAGGGTATGTTGGGGAGGTTAGATAAGTGAAAACTTTCTCACGGGGTTTATTGAAGCTTTCAAAAACTGTTGAAGTTGCATGGTCAGATCTTTGGCAGGGGTTGGGTGGAGGTTGGGTGGGAGGGGGCGGGCAGAAATATACAGGAGTTACTGGAAATTAAATATAAGGGGCATTGATTGTTTAGGAGGGGTTTAAGGGGATTTTTTTGTCCTAGGGAAGGAGCTTAGTGGGAGGCACAGGGA